ATGAAAGAACTTTCTAAATGGCAAACTGCTATACAAATCTTAACAAATATTAGGTGTTACTGTCTCCCAAGGCCATGGAACAGGTCAGAAGAAGGATAATTCTTTTGCACTGGTATGTCCTACATGGGCCAAGAGAATATATGGGTTTCTGTACTATATCAGAAGGCATTAGGAAAAGGAAGCATAAAAATTAGAGAACAATTGTCTTTTACAGTGATGCTTAAACACGCTCAGGCAACTGCTTAAAATAAGTGCTAAAGACATAATGGACATACCTTTCTTTCCTTTTAGGCTACTACTATTCTACCTAAAAGTTTATTTCAATTTCAAAATATAGAACATGGAAGCTTATAGAATTTCTTAAGCATATCTAGAGCCTACTGCCAAATACTATAGTTCAATTCATATCTTTAATCTCATTTTGAAACAGCAATTACAAATCTGTATTTATGGAAACCACTAGCTTCCCTTTTTGAACCCATGAAAGAAGGCCAGGATTCACCTTAGCATAAGATGATAACTACTGAATTATTCTCAATTATTACAGTATCAGAAAGAAGGTCATTTTCAATTACGGGTTCCATTTACCTCTGGCTTATGAAAGCGGCGAGTATATGTTAAGTCAATAATCAGCCCAAGTTCTTCATTCTGTTCTTGGAGTTTGTTAAAAAAGGTCCAAGAGGGAAAATCATTCTTCTGGAGCAAGATTCTTTTCAAAACTGTGTCAGAAAGAATAAAATAAGAAAGCACATGTGTTTAAAATCCTTTATTATCTTATCCATTTATACAAACCCTGTGATGCTAACATATGAGATTCAAAGTAAAGTTTCTTCCTCTGGAATTTACAAGCGATATTATGATCCTTTCTTCCAGAGAGATTAGAAGGAAGAAAATAAGCTCACTTCTATACATTTATTTCTATGTTTGTTTATTTCATGTTGGTCTCCTAACCAGACTGTAAACTCCCAGAAGGCAGGGACCACATCAATTTTGCCTACCACTGTACTGCCAGCTCCAAGCAGAGTGCCTGAAAATAGACACAAAAATAAATACGTCTTGAATATCTACATATATGAAGGATGGTTTTCACTGCTAAATATTCTTTTATGTATTTGGCTTATTTATGTACTCTGTTCGATGGATCTGTTTGGTTATTCAAGTGTCAGCAACACACACTTTTTTTTAAATTAATAGACTAGTTTTAGAGCAGTTTGAGATTCACAGCAAAAGTGAGCAAAAAGTTCACAGTTCCCACTTATACCCTCTCTCCTTCATCCCACACAGCCTTCCCCATGATCAACATGCCACACCAGTGTGCTTCATTTGTTAGAATTCATGAACCAACACTGACACATCATTATCATTCAAAATCTATAGTTTATTGCATTCATGGTACAAGTAACTGACTATTTCTTTATTTCTAGTATAGTCATCCCCAAACATTTACATACTGAGATACATATTACTTTCTTATAAATTACTTTATTCTTTATTTATAGTTAGGGCAGTACATTGTTGTTGTTGTTTTTTAATTAAGTACAAAAGTAGGTTGTATTCATCTATGAATTCCATTTCTGGATAGTAAAGGAGGTATTAAAAAGTATTTGCTACAAAAAGGGAAAATGGAGTATGACAGGGTTGAGAGCCAGGTCTCTATATGGTGAATTCAGATTTCTGGAAGAATACGGTATTAACTTTTGCTTACCTTTTTTAAAGGAACTTTGAAAGCAAGGAAACGAGTCCCAGGCATCGGCTGTTCAACTGGGAGATAGTCTTCCCACCTGTTAATATATTTTTTGTTAGGCAAATTTTACGTTAGGCTGTCTCCCTGCATAGGATGGATGTGCCTTGAAAATGGAAATCATATCCCTGTAGGGTAGGTCCCTCTTCTTTCTGCTTTGCATTTTGCTGCTCCACTTATTCAACCCCACCTAGTAATAACCTATACTTCCCTTGTTCCTGTTGTCCCATCTTGAAAACAGATAAAAGGTAACAAAACAATGCAAAGGTCTCCACAAATAAGGGATATCTAAAACCAGAGCTGGCCAGAACTTCTGTATCCCTGATAAAACCTAGCCCGGTGCTGACTACTAAGGTATCATTAATACCTGCGTGTTGACTGAAATAGTTTAAACTCAATTCTTCCACTTCACAGTTTATTTTCAGTCCTCATACAAAACCTGATAATAAAATTCCTTAATGCTAGGAATCACAGTGAAAAATAATATCTGAACTGACTTCTGTAAGATGAGTTAAACTAAGGTTAATTCAGTGAATCTGAAGCATAAAAAGTGAGGGCAAAAGTGGCACAAGGTGGGGTCATAGAAGCAGAGAGGATTCTAGACCACGCACAGTCTTAAAGGCCAACGGTTTGTTTTCTATTCTCAAAACAATGTTTTTGAGCGATGTTTATGAGCAATGTTCCAACTTGTTTTTACGGTTTCTTTTGTGAAGAATGGATTGGAAGGAAACAAGATATATGGACACTACTTAGGACCTAATTGCAACAGACAGGCAAGTTCAGTATTAGGATGTTGAGGAAGAGTTGACAGATTCAGAAGAAATTCAGGAGATAAACTGAAGCGGGTTAATGGGGTATGAGATGGAGGAAAGGAAGATCTTAGGGAATTAAAGCGTTTACCGCACACGTGCGCAAAGTCTCAAAATTAATCATTTGAACGTACAGAGGTAGATCTCTCAAATGACACCGGTTAGGAAGCAACAGTACGCCCTTTATAATTCCGAGGGGCAACACAAATCAACTGTTCGATGGAAAATTCGGCGGTACCGGTGCATTTTTTTCACTCAAACTTAGTTCCAGTTCCTCTTAATCACATTTTCTGTGCCAAAACAACACAGCTTGAGGAATTGAAGGGGATTCCATCCTGGTAATTAAGGAGGGTCCCCAACACTGACAGTCCCATCTTAAAAGGCAGTCCCTCTGCATTTTACCCGAGGAGCAATGGCCAGAGCATCCCATTTAAAACGATGGGGGGAAATCAGAACATCACACACTGTCCCTTTCACCTACTGGGAACTGATCCGTGAGACGACCAGTACCCCCTACCACAGCGCGGACGGGGCAGCGCGCGGGATCAACAGTCACAGGAGACAGCACAAGAGACGAAGCCCAGACCCAAGGGTTCTGAGCTCCAACGGCAACGCCCAGGGGCCAAGGCGTATTACCTTTCCGGGATGTGCTTTCTGCCCTTCCTCCTGGCCGACGAACGTCCGGAAAAGCCGCGACGCTGACCCCAGCGCCCACGGACACGATGCCGCCCACCCAACGCCAGGAGTGCCAAAGTCGCCAACCCGGCGCCCCCGGTGCCAGCACAAGGTCGCGAAACACAAGCGCCTGGGCACAAGCCCACGCAGCTCGCTGACCATCTTCTACTGCGCATGCGCCACCGCCAGTCCAGATGACGTCCTCACACCGGCCGACGGAGACGCTTCATTGGTAAAGAGGAGTCTGACGCCTGCAATTCCCTCCTTAGCCGGAAGATGGTAGCAGAGGTCCATTAGTTCGTGTGTGTACCCTTCAGAATTCCAATCATATGGGACATGGAAAGTTGTCCCACTCTCCCAGTATCTTGTGTGGTTCTTTCAGATATTTCCCAAGTGCTTACATTCACACTTGTTGTATCTTGTATGTAAGTATTTCTACCTAATGGAGATCCTGTATTTTATACAAGAGCAGCGTACTATACATGGTCTACCATCTGTCTTGGATAGTGATTCTCCCAGTCAATTTTTGCATACATCCATTCCATTCTCTTTAATAGCTGCGTCACATTACATAACTTACATGGCCAGTCCAATATTGATGGACTTTTGGTTGTTTTCAGTTTGGGGGCATTTTGTTTGTTTTTGTTTGTGTCCTCTGTTACAGATAGGCTGCAATGTGAACCTCTTTATACATGTGTATAGCTATATATAAATTTCTAGACATAGAATTTCTGGAATGAAAGAGATGCAAACTTAAAATATTGAAAGTTTTTCAAACAATCTAATCTGCCTGATCAACCTCCAAAAATATTCTATCAACTTATACTCCACTCACAGTGAAACATTTATTGGGTTTCTATTATGAGCCTGGTATCAAGCTGGAGGTTGACAGTATGTATTTACATTTTAGACAACACCAAAAAATGCCTGAGAGAGATAAGAGTAGAGCTTAAGTATAACATTTCCTCACAGTATCAGGCATAGGGATCTGCACCTGTTAGAAAAACTATGAATCCTGCCACAAGTGGAACAGCAAAGAACAGCATGTCCTATAGTAGGTGTGAAGGTATAATAGCATACTAAATTCCATTGTTATTTATAATAACAAATGTTTTTTGTTAGTTTTACTTTTCAGTTTCTAATTTCTGAAAGTATCTTACATACACTGTGAGTAATCTTCACAACCATTTGAGCTGGGTTAACTGAGTCAGGAAGGTCAGAATTATTGAATGAATGAATGAGTGAATGAGTAAAACATCACTAGCTTTAACGTACCTGGGACAGTCATAGTCTAACCAAGTTTCAATCCACAAGCATTTATTTACAATTCTGAAAACTTCCACAGAATTACAAATGGGACAAGAGTAGTAAATTACTATTTGGATAAAGAAAAAATACAAGTTAGCACAACCTAGTTTACAAACTTACAATTAGGCACATTCAATTTGGTGCTAAGTCATAAAATATTCTTTTGCAATTTATGAAAAATATCCAATAGGCATGTAATGGCCAAAAAGTACTAATGATACAAATATCTATAGACATGACAGTGTACAAATTGTGACATAAATCTATCAGAAACTAGAAAATCTATGTTGGTCCTATAGTTCCAGCTTGCTAAAAGATACAGGCTTTGGGTGGGAACACAAAAAAATCCAGACCTGGCCATAACAGGGTTGGCAGAAAGTATGGGAACTAGCAAAGAGTAGGCCTCTGGATGGGAGTGGGTCCAACATGAGATAAAACAATGCCTTAATGGGTATGTAGTATGCTGAGATGGAAAATAAAGGAGAAAGGGATATTTGGAGAATCAGACAGCTAAGTATTTGAAACTAACAAAATCTACCAGTATCCCATAGGGCCTCAGGTACCATGCAAGCGTTTGAAGGATTCCAGTGTTTAATTAAATCACAGTGTGACAATGGGAAGAATTAAGGACAGCCTCAGGGGTAGATGAACTGGGGATGTTACACCAAGACATGTCTCAGTTAACCTGATGGGTTCAAAATGCAGGAAGTGGGTATACGGGACAAGAAAATACCCTAACTATAAGAAAAAACGTTTAGGTCAGGGTAGGGCCTGATGTTGCTAAGTGTTGAAATAGAGCTCTTTAGTTTCTTCCTCCTCCATGTACGATTCTTTTAGAGGTTAAGGTGATGCTGAGCCTGCAAGCTAAAGTTAAATGGCTGGAACTAGAGAGAGAAAATAAGTTACATAGGCTCGGAACCAGGAAAAGCCTAACTA